GGTCCCTGGGAACAGCCACTTGCCCCCAGCCCTGCAGCTGCCTGGGCCTGGGAATGCCCAGCTGCCAGCAAAGCCCGGCCCAGCCTCACGGCCACCGCGGCTCCTGCCAGCTCTGGTGCCTGAGGAGCCATTTGCTGCCCGGCAGCTGCCGGGATGGGCACAGGAAACCCCTGGCACAGCTCTGGACGGTCCCTTCAGAGCACTGTCCTGGTCTCAGCACCCAGCTGGGGCCGAGGCAGCACCAGCCACCCCTCGCCACAAGGGCCCTGTCCCCAGAGCAGCAGCAGCAGCCTTTGCCTGGCTCCGCTGTGTGCCTGTCCGAGGGGCTGGGCACCCCGGGCTGGGCGCAGCAGGGTCGTTCCAGCGGTGCCAGACTGTCCCACGCTGCCCCTGGGGGTCCCTGGTGGTCCCCACAGTGGGGACAGCGAGGCAGGGGTCTCTCTGTGGGTCTCTGCAGTGAGGTCTCTGGGTTGGGGGCTCTGGTGGGGTCCCAGCCCACCTCGTGCCCCCCGGGTGGGCAGAGCCGCACATGTCCCTGCTCTGATGGGTCGATGGTGTTTGACCTTCACCGAGTGACTCATTGATCCTGTCTGGGGGTGCCCCTCGCTGCCGGGGGCTGAGGCAGGGCGGGGGTCTCTGGCACAGCTGGCACCTCACAGAGACCCCGGTGAGCGGTGCCAGCCCTGGTGCTGTCCATGCCGGTCCTGGTCACTCACAGGGACGAGGTGGGCAGCCCGCCCTGGGCGAGTCACTTTGCGGGGACGCCCAGCAGTGTCCCCATGGCGCGTGTGGCAATGGCGGTGGGGGGTGGCAGGGATGGGGCCTGCTCCAGGAGCTGGGCCTGCAGGGTGGCACTGGCCGGGGTGCAGCCCGGAGTCACTGGAGAGGGGTTCCTGGCAGGGAAGCAGCCCCAGCTCTGTGCCAGGGCCCCTCCTCTCCGCGGATTTCCCGGGATAATCCATTGACACGGCCCGTGGAGGATGCGCAGCTGCGGGGCCGAGCCCTGCCCGCACCGGGGCACCTCCGGCGAGGGTGGGCAGGTGGAGTGACCCCCAGCCCTGGGGGCTCCTGGTGGTCACCCCGGTGCTGCCTCTGCCCCGCAGCACCATGATGGCCAACGCGGCCACCATGCGGATCCTCATCAAGGGGGGGAAGGTGGTGAACGACGACTGCACCCTCGAGGCCGACGTCTACATCGAGAATGGCATCATCCAGCAAGTGGGGCGCGAGCTGATGATCCCCGGCGGTGCCAAGGTCATCGATGCCACCGGCAAGCTCGTCATCCCGGGCGGCATCGACACCAGCACCCACTTCCACCAGACCTTCATGAACGCCACCTGTGTCGATGACTTCTACCACGGCACCAAGGTACCCCCGCGGGCTGAGCGGGGTCTGCTCCCCGCTCTGG